CACATGCAACTGCATGCATAAATAAATAAATAAAATAAAATAATTATTTTCACACAAGTTTCCTGGACATTCCCCCTGTATTCCATTGGTCAGCCAAACAGAAAGTCCCGTCTCAAATTCACGCCATTGGTTGAGCCTGTGTTGCTGTGTTGAACCGGTCAGGATGCTCAACCAAAAATAGACCGATTTTGATAGATCCAGTTTTCAGGATGGCAACCACCCAATAGAGGGCTTTTTATGTGGTATAAACAAAATATTCCACAAAAGAGGAAATTTATCATTTAAACCAACGTGAGCCATAAAAATGTTACCTTAAAGTCACATTGTGCTCACTGGACATCACACTTACCGTTGGTCATTTAGATACTCCTATCCAAAGTGGCTTACAAATGAACATCACAAGCATTTCTCATGCCAGCAATATTTACAGAAGTAGCAGTAGTACAGAAAGCAGAAAGCAGAGTAGTAAACCTGGTAACATAAAGTAGCCTAGTTTCTTTTAGCTTTAGTTTTTGTTAATAGTTTTCTGTGATGAGGACATGCCATGCCACCTGTCCATTTTGGCATCTACCTGTTTTGGCTAAATACTACTTAGGCTACGTTGACGCGACAGCGATGTAGTAAAAAACTGAAAAGTTTTTCCCTTGTGTTTTTAAAAAGTTTTATGTATACACGACAACGTTTTCAAAACGATTCGCGTTTACACATATCCGCGAAAACGGCAAAAAACGCTGTATTACGTATGCCAGGCCAGTAGTTGGCGCTGTCACCTTGTTAATAAACAGTACCTGTAGAGAAGTGACGATTATATGTTGTATATTGTAATATCGGTGAAGTAAATCCACACTTTGCTGAAGAAGCGTTGGCAAACTCTTGAGCAGCAACAACAGTACCATGTACTCCGTCATTGTTGTGTATGTTTGTTCACGCTTGCCTTTAAAATCGACACGTACTGCGCATGTATACATACATAACACGTACTACGCACGTGCATGACGTCACCGTTTTCAAAGATTCCCGTTTTGGGTGTTTACACGGAAACGATAACGGTGCCGTTTTAAAAAACTTCCACTTTGAAACCCGTTTTCAAAAATATGCGTTTTCAGTCCCCAAAATGCCGTTGTCGTGTAAGCAAACAGGCAAAATGCATAAAAGTTCGCAGTTTTTGGCTGAAAACGTTGTCGTGTAAATGGCTCCTAAGTGGCAGATCAGTTTTGCACCTCAAAACAATAAAACATGTGTGTGTGTGTGTGTGCACCCTATCAGTCTTATCTCCCATTTTTAAATTTTGATAAATAAATAAGAAATAATAAACTCTTGTGTAATAGAAATGGAGTTTTATACACTTTAAAGGTTTTTGCTGGACCCATAGATAGATCATCTTTAGTGTTAGTAGTGTAGATATGAGGAGACCAAGCTGTTGACTAAACTATTGGTGAAAAAGAGTGGCTTGAATCTAGTTCACACAACTCTGTGGTGCTGCAAGGAACCTTTGAAAAACCTTTATTTCTAATACTGAAGTGGACATCTTATATTCCAAATGTTAAGGAACATTAATTGATTTTTTATGAAGGATGAACTGACAGGAAAATTTGATGAGATCTGTTGATTATTTAGAAACATGACCTTCAGCATTGGCTGTGTTTATGCTGTCTTTGTGTTACCCACATGAGATAAATATTTCCCAATACTGCATCATAGAAAGTTTGTGGGCATTACCTCATTACCTCCTCTCTTTATACCCCCTCCCTCTGTTCACGCTGGTAAATGAGAGCAGACCCAGACCAGGCAAACCCTGCCAGGCGGCCTGTCCTATAAATGCAGCATTGAGGCAGGGCACACACAGGCGCTTTTGTTGACAGTGTAAAGGTGCGCACCCTGCGGAGGGCCACAGGAGAGAGCAGACATACAGCCCTGCAGCATGTGTCCATCTGGAGGCTAGGGACATGGGTTAGATGAAAGAAACATAGAAACTAGATGCTAAGCATGGGTAATGGACCTTAAAGAATGAATTAATTTGGTGAAATGTAGCATTACATCACTTGCTCAGCAATGGATCAATGCAGTGAATGGGTGCCGTCAGAATGAGAGTCCAAACAGCTGATAAAAACATCACAATAATCCAAAAGTAATCCACACCACTATTGGGGGAGCTGAATGTTTGTAAGAAACAAATTAAACTAAAATTCCATAATAACATTTCCTTCAGTGAAAAAGACATCTCATCTGAATCAGATCAAGCACGTCCAAAACAGCTTTTAACAAATATGTAGGTGGACTTTGATGTGAGAGACAATAGGGGATGGACTTTTTCACTGGAGCAAAAGTTATTATGGATTACGGGATATATGCAGCTTTTCATTGTGATAATTGCATTACTTTTGATGATTTTGTGATGCTTTCATCAGCTGTTTGGACTCTCATTCTGACGGCACCCATTCACTGCATTGATCCATTGGTGAGAAAGTGATGTAATGCTAAATTTCTCCAATTTCTTGGAGATGAATAACATTTTTGGGTGAACCATTTCTTTAATAGCTTATAATTGTACAGAATGTGGTTGGAAAATGGCTTAATGAAGGGGCTAAAAATATTTTGTAAAATGTAATTAAGTTTAGAGGTTGGTTACGGTTATGATATAACAAATATAATTAGTTTAATATAAAATCAACAAATGTCCCACCATATTATTCTATAAAAACAAATGTGTGCATAAAATTGGTAATGTCTTCTTCAAATGCTATTTAAAAGAATGTATATATATATATATATATATATATATA